GCTCGGATCAACCTACTTTAATCATGGAAATGAATGTCTAGAGCAGGGGCATCATTCCCATCACGTGGATTTTGCAACAATGCTGATTGGATAAAAGTGGCTATTAGCTGCCAATGTATGACATAAAAGTGAGGGTTGCGTACCTATCATGCATTGTCCCTGAAGTCCAGACTTTTTAGCTGAGTTACCCAAAGAGGTCCTTCTGCATCTTTTGCTCTGCCAGGGTCCACCTACTTGACAATGAACAAAGACCACTCTTCATATAGCATCATGCTTACAAACATAAAGGTGCCTGTATCTCCGAACTTTACAATCAAACGTGTGGTTTTTATTAGAGCAATGTGCTCGGCTTGGCCAACTGCACCTTGTGTGAAAGTTTCACGATCAAGCTTGCCAATCCCAGATTTCGCAATGTCGCTACCAGCCAAACTGGATCTGGGGGTCGACCTCTTCGACGACGACGACCAAAAAAATATTTTTTGGGTTGTTTGCGACATTGAACGCGAAACTTTCTCACAAGGTGCTGTTGGCCAACCCGAGCCCATTGCTCTATTCAAAACCCCACGTTTCATTGTCAAGTTTGGAGATACAAGCACCTTTATGTTTGTAAGCGTGATGATATATGAGAAGTGGTCTTTGTTTAATGTAAAGTAGGTGGACCCTGGCAGAGCAAAAGATGCAGAGGAACCTCTTTGTGTAACTCAGGTACTTTTGCATGGCTGCAAGGATGGAAGGATGATACTGTATACTGTTGACAATAGCCCATATACTGTCCGCTAGCAGCCATTTCTTCACAATCAGCTTCGTTGCAAAATCCACTTCATGTGAACGATTCTCCTACTCCAGCCGAGCATTTCCGTCATTCAAGTTTCTTGATCCGAGCTGATTTGACTGAGCTACGCGGAAACAGCAAACGTGAAAATTATTGAATTCGCAGACCCTGCGAATGTCTCCGTCTTTCAAACTTTTGGACGCTCCCATTCAAAATTCCCAAATGAAGCATGAAGTTTTTATTAGAAAAAGTTGATCAGGATGCTCGAGAGCACCCTTCTGACCAATTTTCAAGTTGGAAGTGAGCAACTTCGGGGCGGTGGGCCGTCCGCTCTTTTGTTGCCCATCATCCACCGTTTGGGCCCTCCCGCATTCAAGACATCCTTAATGAAGTGTATGGTTTTTAAATGAATGGAGTTGATCAGCATGTTGCAGCGAACCTTCTGACAAAGTTTCAGGTTCGAAATGGGGAATCCCAAGATAATACATAGTATTTCGATGAATCATGAATCCGGGGCTGACCTCCATTCCCGACTTACATTGTAAACCCACATTGCACCCACCCATTCAATATTTTATAATGAACATGAGGTCTTTTTTAAGACCATGTTGATCAGCATGCCCAAGAGCATCTTGTGTGAAAGTTTTAGGATCACGAGGGATAATCTCAATGTCAAGGATTGATGTACAGTGTTCATGCATTTATACAAGAGGTGTTCGACCTATTTAATTTCCACTTCTTCCACTCCCACAACTTCTTGTCTCTTCCTCCCATTCTCACTATTGCCCCATTCAAGTATACAACTACCACCTGCGAACGATTGTCCTGCTTCAACCCATCATGTCAATCCTACACTTGTGTTGTTCCGATTGGCCTTGATTGAATGGCAAGTCCATCTCGTGTGCACCCCATTACAACACCCACGATGCTTGAAACTTGACGTTCTCTTGTACACTCCTCTACCACAATCAAACGTTAACAGCATGAATCTAGCAGTTGGGATTAGCAAGGTCTTTACTCCATTGTCTTCAACAGCGTTCTTTACTTGCAGCAACTTGCCTTACAGCCTTGTTTACGTGAACAGCAGATAGCCGTTGTATAGAAGCAGCTTTATTTACGCGTAGCAACTTGCTCTAATACATACGACTTCTTATGAATATGGATATGGATATGGATATGGATATGGATATGGATATGGATATG